TATAGCATACTAGTATTGAGAAATTTATCTTCAAGTTCACTAATTTGGCTTCCATTGCTTCACATCTACTCTTTTGCCCATTCAATGTTTTGTCCATTTTTGAAATCTTAGCATTAATCTGGATTTCTAATTGAAGGTTTTTTATTGTTTCAAAATTTGCATTTATTTGGTCTATTTGTTCTTATAGTGTTTTCCTGAATTCTTCTAAAGTTTTTATTGTGTTCTCCTTGCTTTTCTTGATCTTTCTATCAATCCTTTGAAGGTACCTAATTAACATTCTTTTGTATTCTTTTTCAGTTAGTTCCATTACCTTTTCTGGCTGTATGTCTTGGTCATTGTTTAAGTCATTCTTCATGGGGACCCTTGATAGAGTTGGTTTTAGTCTCTGTCAGGACCATAGGAAAGCTGGGGGCAGCATGACTGGTTAAATGGTGGTCTGGTGGCTCTACAGGTGTTGTAGGTCTGAAACCAAGCCCACCTGAATCCAAGCACCAAAGCAAAATACCAAAGCAGTACAGCACACCCTCAACTCACACTGGTGTGGCTCCCACACATGTCTCTGAACTCCAGGAGTTGTTGTTAGGTGTCATCGAGTCAGTACTGACTCATAGCGACCCTATGCACAACAGAACAAAACACTGCCCGATCCTGGGCCAACTTCACAATTGTTGCCACACTTAAGTCCATTAATGCTGCCACTTTTCCAGTCCATCTCACTGGCTGGCTGCCTCTTTTTCTCTGACCCTCCACCTTACCAAACATGATATCCTTCTCCAGCGACTGGTCACTCCTGACAATGTGTCCCAAGTATGAGAGATGAAGTTTGGCCATCCTGGCCTCCAAGGAGCACTCTGGCTGCATTTCTTCCAACAAAGATATATTCTTTTGGCAGCCAATGGCACTTCCAGTATTCTCCTCCAACACTATAACTCAAAAGCATTAATTCCTCTATGGTCTTCCTTATTCACTGTCCAGCTTTCACATATATATGAGGTTATTGAACTCCAGGAGAGCAGGATGTAAATGAAGGTGTGAGCAGGCCATACCTGCGGTCACCAGAAGAGTATGGGAAATAAGAAGAAATCACACCTCTCCCATCATCCATGCAAATCTGCTCTGCCAGGCTTCCCTCTACGGCCAAAGCTGTTAACAAGATGGCTGACACTTGTCTGACCAACCACTCACCAGTCTCCCTCTCTCACCATCCCTGCTTGGCCTCTCCTCCCAGCAAGCACTCCACCTACCTTTCTAACCTTTCTTCCGACGTTAAGGTTGCCAGAGTTTTCTTCTGTGTGTTTTATTTGGTCTCTCATATCTTCACTATGGACGGTCCGTGTATTGTGTGTGTCTAGTCTGCCATCTGGCTGGAAGTCCTTTGCAGTCTAATTCTTTATGACTTCCATCTTCCATCTGCTTCAGCATTTCTCTTCTTTCCCCAGCTCAGGATCAGACACCATTTTCTTCCTCCTTCTACAACTGGTTCCTGCAGGTCAGAGCTGAGGAGAAGGGTTGGGATCAAGGTTCCATATTTTTTTCCTTGTCTGAGGCAACAGATAGAAACAGTAGTACCAGTGGTGGCAACCACAAGCACAATACTCAGCCAGCTACAGTCTGTGGTACCAATCAAGGCCATGCCTATTTGTGTATCACCTGTGAGGGAAGAATGGCTTTCACATTATTTTTTAAGTGGCTGAAAAAACCCAAGACAAAGAATATTTCATGACACTTGGAAATTATATGAAATTCTAATTTTAGTGTCTATGAAGACAGTTGTATTGTAACAGAGTCACACCCATTCATTTACATATTGTCTCTGGCTGCTATTGCTTTACAATGGTGGGGTTGAGTAGAGATGTAACAGAAATCATATGGCCCATAAAGACTAGCATAGTTACTTTCTGGACTTTTACGGAAAAGTTTATCAACCCCTGTTCTAACTACCTCTTGCTACTCACCCCCTCTTTTACAAGTCTTGGTAGTACACACTACTCTGATAGCTAAGGGCCCCTTGTGGCAAGAGCCCTACAGTTTAGCCCAGCCTGGCTAACGTTTGCAGCATCCACTTGGCCCATGCGAAACCTTTTCATCCTTGTTCCACCAAATACTGGGAGTGCGAGCTGGTCCCCTGCTCCTTCTCTCAGTCATTGTGGGTTGTGGGTTGATCCAGACAGCTTCCCACCTTTAATCTTCACCTCCAAACTTACGGAACACTCACTGTGTTTTTTGCCAGTAGTTGAAGATATGGAACATAGAGTTTCTGCAGCTCAGGAAGCCTCAAGCTGGGGCTGAGACATTTGACTCACCTTCTTACCTACATCTTGAGGCCTTAAAAACTATTTTTAGTTGACTTATATAACCTGGATGGGATGGTGGTCACTCTTTTTTCCCATCTTTTAGGAAGCCTACAAAGTTATCTCTAACAGCTTAAAAATGTCAGAATCCTTGTTACCCAATATCTTTGACTTTGAGACTTCATTCAAAACTCTAAGACAAGACTTGAGAGATCTCTCCATTTATAACTCCCCTACACACATACACCAAGAGGAAGTTGTTCAAACAGAACATGGGAACACTGAATGGTTTAAAATTAAGAAAGGTGTGTGACAGGGTTGTATTCTTTCACCATACTTATTCAACATGTATGCTGAGCAAATAATCCAAGAAGCTGGGTTCTATGAAGAAAAACTTGGCATTAACAACCTGTGATATGCAGATGATACAACCTTGCTTGCTGAAAGTGAATAAGACAAAATATTTACTGATGAAGATCGAAGAGCACAGCCTTCAGTATGGATTGCATCTCAATGTAAAGAAAACAAAAATCCTCATCACTGGACCAATAAACAGCATTCTTATCAACTGAGAAAAGATAGAACTTGTCAAGGATTTCATGCTTCTTGGATCAACTATCAACACTCATGGAAGCAGCAGTCAAAAAATCAAATGATGTATTGCATTAGGCAAAGCTGCTGAACAAGACCTTTTTAAAGTATTGTGGAGCAAAGATGTCAGCTTGAGGACTAAGGTGCACCTGACCCAAGCCATGGTATTTTCAATAACCTCATATGCATGTGAAAAGCCATAGAAGAATTGATGCTTTTGAGTTATGGTGTTGGAGGAGAATATTAAAAGTGCCATGGGCTGCCAAAAGAACAAACAGATCTGTTTTGGAAGATGTGCAGCCAGAACGTTCCTTGGAGGCCAGGATGGGCAAACTTTGTCTCTCATACTTGGGACATAATGTCAGGAGGGACCAGTCACTGGAGAAGGAGATCATGTTTGGTAAGGTAGAGGGTCAGAGAAAAAGAGGAGGACCCCCAGTGAGATGGATTGGCAATGTGGCAGCATCAATGGGCTCAAGCATGGTAACGATAGTGAGGTTGGCCCAGGATCGGGCAGTGTTCTGTTCTGCTGTGCATAAGGTCACTATGAGTCGGTACTTACTCGATGGCACCTAACAACAACCACCACTTTACCAATCATGATGGTCTTCTCTAGGGACTGGCCCATCCTGATTACATGTATGAAGCATGAGAGACAAAGTATCTCATTCTGGCTTCTAAGGAGCATTCTGGCTGTCCTTCCAGCATATACTTGTTTGTTCTTTGGCAGCCTGTGGTACTTTTAATATTCTTCTCCAACACCATAACTCAAATGCATCAATTCTTCCTTATTCTTTGTCCAACTTTCACATGTGTATAAGGCTATTGAAAATACCATGATTTGAGTCAGGTACACCTTAGTCCTCAAACTGACACCTTTGCTCTTTAAATCAGTGTTGTGTTTTCTAGAGCTGTGGCTCAATCTTTAGCTGGCAACTAAACCACCTGTAGGGCTTGTTAAAATAATTATTGCACCTGGAGGAATTGATAAATTATATTACTGTGCTCCACCTTCAGAAATTCTGGTTCTAAGGTGAAGTGTGAAATTTTGCCTTTTTAACAATTGATGTTCAAGGAAACAGTAATCAAGAAATCAATCAACTGCATTGCATTGGGCAAGTCTGCTGAAAAAGAGCTGTTTAAAGTCTTAAAAAGCAAAGATATTTCTTTGAGGACTAATGTGTGCCTAACCTATAGTATTTTCAGTCACCTCATTTGCATGCAAAAGCTGGACAACAGAAAAAAATCAATGAATTTGTATTATGGTGTTGGAGAAGAATATTGAAATTACTCTGGACAGAATAAACAAATTTATCTTGGAAGAAGTACAAACAGAATGCTCTTTAGAACGGATGATGATGAGACTTCGTCTAGCTTGCTTTGAACCTCAAGGAGGCCGTGTGGCGCTGTGAGTTAATGGTTGGGCTGCTAAGGTTGCCCTTGGCAGTTGCAACTCCCTAGTCGCTCCATGGCAGAAAGATATAGCAGTCTGCTCTCCTAACAATAAAACAAACGAAAGAACAACTTCAACCTACTGAAATCCGGTTATTCCAAACCCTATGGGGCAGTTCGACTCTGTCCTACAGTGTTGCTAAGAGCCCCAACTGAATCAACGAGCTACCAGAGCTCATTGCTTAGTGGTGACGAATCGGTCTGCTAACCTCAAGGTAGGCAGTGCGAAACTACCAGCTGTTCCGTGGGAGAAAGATGAGGCTTTCTGCTCCCGTAAAGATTTGCAGCTTCCGAAACCCTGTGCAGGGTCACTATGAGTCGGAACCGACTCCACGGTACTTAAAAATAACAAGATGCAGCAGCACTAGATATCTAAGACAGGAGGATTTAAGGGCAGGAAACAACATTCTAACCACAGGATCAGCACAAACGTAACAACCAGACAGCAAGAGTGAAGAACTGGGTAGCTTCGCAGAAGCTAGCGGAGTCCTGCGTCCCTTAGAGAGGGCGCATGCGCAAGCGTCTCAGGGTCGGTTCTCAGGTTACCAGTAGGCAGGCAAACGTACCAAATGGTGCACGGCAGGAGCTGATCCTAGCCGCAGGGAGCGCTCTCCCCAGTCGGTCCCCTCTACGCCTGCGCGGGACTTTAGCGCTAGGCCTAAACGTTCTGGATTAAGATGGCGGCGGCAGCGGCCCGGCAGGCCTGGGTAGCTGCGTTCGCTGCCCCGGGGCTGCATAGGCGGTAGGTGACGAGCCCGGAGGCTCCGCATAGGGGTTCTACCGGAGCGGGTGCCGTCTTGCCTCAAGGGGGGTGGGTTCCCTGGACCGAACTTTTGGGGTGAATCCCGTCACCACAATAGGGGATCTTGCCCAGAATTGGATAGCTATCTGTTCGAGCCTAGTCCCAGATGCTGAGGTTGGGACTTCAGCCTCCTCGGTGGGGAAGCTCTTAGAGACTGGTTGAGGTTCCCCAACTTTCCCTCACGTGCATCCCTCTCTCTGTCTTTTAAATATAAAATCAGAATATCATACAGCATGAAAGAGGGGACCTGGCCCCATTTACTCATTTTCCGAGTGAGACCCGGAAAGGTTATGTGACTTATCTAAGGTCACAAGGCTCTTAAGTCATGGAATTCCGATGAGAACCCAGGCCCCTGGATTTCCTGTCCCTCACTTAAAGCCCACTCGTTCCTCACCCTTTCCTTGAGACTTCCCTTTGAATTTAGCCTCCAACATTGGTTAAGTGAAAGACAATTTATTTAAATGGTGTGCCCTGATTTTGCTTCTGAAGCAAAGGGAGAGTTTGCCCTTTTAAGTATTATGTTAATAATTCTCTGGAAGTTTAATGCATTTCCTTCAGTACTTAAGGTGACAGCAGGATTTTGTTGTTGTTAGTCACTTCCCGTCTCCCATATCTGTTGAGTTGTT